TGCTTTTTATTTTATTTTTTTCCAGAAGCTGCTGTAATTGGGTATTTTTTTCCATCTTGTCTTCTAGCTCACTGATGTGGTCCTCTGCTTCTTCTAGTCTTCTCTAGCTTTCTGTTGAGTTCTTCATAGTAGTGATGTCATTTTTCATTTCTTCTTGATTCATCTTCAATTCCTCTTGGTTATTCTTCAATTCCTCTTGTTTCTTATCCATATCATCAAATTTCTCTTCCATTCTTTTTAGCCATCCTATGATCATTACTCTGAATTCTTGCTCTGGCAAGTTCCTTGCCTCTAACTCCTATACTTCCTTTTCTGGTGATGTCAGCTTTTCTTTCATGTGTGGGCTATTTCTTTGTCTTCCCATGGTCTCTCTTTTCAGGACGTCTGGTTATGTGGTATTCCTTCTCCTTTTCTGTGGGTGATTGAAGAACTCCCTTGAATCCACGTGTTTGCGCCGATTGAGGCATCACAGTGTTCGATGGTCTCCTCTGCTGTGGGTTTCTCTGGCCTCAGAGAAGATACTCCTTTTTTGGTAAGATGGAGCAGCCTTCCCTCTGAGCCCATAGCTCTGGGAAAGGTCTCCACCACAGCAGTGCTAGCTGCTTGGTCAGGAAATCCTGTTCAGTGGATCCTTACCTTTCTTTAGAGTTCTGCTACCCCTTAGCTTGCCAATTAATACTCCCTGAGCGACTCTCATATGCTCCTTCTATCTGTTCTGGGACCAGGCTCAGAACAAGTCCGTCTGTTTGGCCACCATCTTGTCCCTCCCCCAAGTAATAGTTTTTTAAGTAAAAGTAGGAAACAATGCAAGAGGGTATTTTGGACATAATGAAACACTGTGTTTGATGCGCCTAGCAGAGTATTAGAGTGCTGGGGCCTATGAGACATATCCCCTTCCTTAGTAAGCCAGACAAACACAACCCTGGCTGCTAGCAACATGTTTATTCCTTGCCCCTGTTGGTACATGTAGAGAAAAAGTGATAAGGAAATAATCAGCTGAGAATAATTTTATCTTTTGGCAGCACAATATAAATGTGCTTTATAAAATATTATGTGACCGAATTACACTGATTTGCTTTGGGTACCATCATTCCAGTTCATTTCTTATCTAAATGATGAATGGCAGCTGAAACAGTGTAGTGTAATGTTATTTTTACTAGACAATAACAGTTGATAAAGTAGTTTCCCAGCTGAAACTAGGCAATAAACAACTTTGAGAGAAACATAATATGTGATTTTTTAAAAAATGAAAGATATAAAATGTTATGGTCCTGAATTCAGAATCAGGATGTAAAATTGAAATGTTTTGGTTTGTATGCTTCTTTACTCTCTTATTTCTCTTTCCTCTTTCCTTCCAGAAAAACCTGCAATGGGCTGTGACATGACACAATCTTTTGCTTATTCAGTGTGGGAAGTCGGTGGAGTGCATTGCTAATACAAAACAAAATTGCAATTTCAAAATCTAGAGGACCCTTTAAAATAGCACACATTTAGAAATGGAAAAGTAACATTGAACACAAGAGTTATATATCTTTTATGGAATAGCATTTTAAAATTTAACATACTCATCGTGTTTATTTTTGTGTGACCAGCAAATGTTGAAAGGATTGTAAGCCTTCATTAACTTCATTTAATTAGCAATTACCTGTTGAGCACCTCCTGACTGCCAGGAACTTGGCTAATAACTGGGGATGCAATAGTGAAAAATTTACCAGCCTGATACATTATTACAGAGCAATGTAGGAATCACAGAAGTCCACAGACAATGACCACTCTGGACCTGTGGGTGCTAGGGTGAAGGAGGATAGAAGGCTCTGAGAAAGCCCAGGAATGAAATTTAACCCAGCCTGGGAAAATCATCCAAGATACTAGAGAATTCCTCTAAGCTGGGAAATCAAGAATAAGTAATATTAACCTGGTGACTGGAGGGGAGAATGGGATCTCAGAACTGGCGTCTAGAAATGGCATGTTGAGAGCACTGTCAGCAGAATAGTTTTGTAAAATTGTGACTGAGAAGATAAGGGCAGGCGTAGTAAATAGTAAGTCTTAAAAGGTAAGGACTCATATGCAATACCTTAATCAATAAAAAAAGTTAAAAAAAGATAAGCTGTGTTGGGAGTCATGCTAAGGTGTCTGATATTTATGCTGATTTTAGATGGAAATATGTAGGAGTGGTTTTGGGCCTTAGAATGATCACTCTATCTGAAGAAAGAAAAATGCATTGTGGGTAAGAGAAATATCAGATTCAGGGTGTTGCTGAGATAAGAATTGATGGAATCTTCAGCTGACATATAGAATACACAAGGCTTGTCGAAACTGGTTTGGCTCACGGTAGAGCGTCGATCTGCGGACTGAAAGGTCCCAGGTTCGATTCTAGTCAAGGGCATGTACATTGGTTGAGGGCACATCCCCGGTAAGGGGTGTGTAAGAGGCAGCTGGTCGATGTTTATCTCTCATCGACGTTTCTGGCTCTCTATCTCTCTCCCTTCCTCTCTGTAAAAAAAAAAAAAAAAAAAAAAAAAAAAAAAAAAAAATCAATAAAATAGCCGAAACCAGTTTGGCTCAGTGGTAGAGCATCGGTCTGGGGACTGAAAGGTCCCAGGTTCGATTCTGGTCAGGGGCATGTATGTTGGTTGCAGGCACATCCCTGATAGAGGGTGTGCAAGAGGCAGCTGGTCGGTGTTTCTCTCTTATCGCCGTTTCTAGCTCTCTATCTCTCTCCCTTCCTCTCTGTAAAAAGTCAATAAAAATATATATATTTTAAAAATCAATAAAATAAAATAAAAATAAAAAAAGAATGCACAAGGCTTGATGATTGGTGAGAGTGGACCAGGACCAACATACAGGTTCCTGATTTGGAAGCTGGATTAGAAGAAAATGCCATTTATAGAAATATAAAATAGGGGAATGATCATTGATTGGTTGGGAGGAGGAAAGGAAGATGAGTTTAATTTTTGACTCAAGGAGACATGTCAATTAGGCTATCTCTGTGTTGTGTGTGTGTATGTACACATTTACTTAGAAAGAAGACTTCAAATGTAGGTTTGAAAAACTTCTCATATCAGGACTTCAGATATATATAGCTTTGTGAAAAAACAATCTATACTATGTAAAAGCCTAGGTGGCCCTTGTGCCCTCACGTCATCACAAGATGGCTGCCACAAGATGGCCACCTCCACATTGTCACAAGATGGCTGGCAGGGGAGGGCAGTTGGCAGTGGTCTAACCTCCAGGGAAGGGCAGGTGGGGGCATCTAACTGCAGGGGAGCAGTTAGATGTCAATCAGGCCAGTAGGCAGAAAAAGTTAGAGGAAATCTTATAGGCAGACAGGTGAGTGGTTAGGAGCCAGCAGTCCTGGATTGTGAGAGGGATATCCAACTGCCAGTTTAGGCCCAATCTACAGGGCTGAGGGACAGCCCCCACCAGTGCACAAATTTTGTGCACTTGGCCTCTGGTCTTATATAATAAAAGTGTATTATATAAATCCACCTAACAGCAGAACAACTGTTTGCTATGACACGCACTGACCACAAGGGGGAAAAAGCTCAACCCAGGAGCTGCCCCTTGGTGGTCAGTGCGCTCCCACAGGAGAAGCGCTGCTCAGCCAGAAGCCGGGCTCATGGCTGGTGAGCACAGTGGCAGTGGCAGGAGCCTCTCCCACCTCGGATACAGGCAGACAGTAAGAAGCCAGGGGTCCCGGACTGTGAGAGCCCTGGACTGCAAGAAGGTACAGGCCAGGCTGAGGAGCCCCACAGGTGGATGAATCTGTGCAGCAGGTCTCTAGTATATTGATAATACTGTAAATTGTAAGTGTGAAGAGAAAGACTATAAAAAAGTGAAAAGGACCTTTAAGAGACACACAAAGAGGAATAACAGGGTATTACTCAATATTCTTTTACAAAACAGAGAAATAAGGGGAACAGTTAGGTGTGAAGCTGAATAAAGCAGAGAGCAATGAAATACTAGAGAATGTGGAGTGCTCAATGATAGTCCAAAAGTATGGATTTTCCTCCCAGAGTCCTGAAGGCTCATATCATAGAATTTTAATATTTTCATTGGGCCTTTTCTTTCTAGAATGTGGGGGTGGGGGAAGTGGGGAATCTTACTTTTCTCAGACTTTCTTTAAATGTGCAGATGCATTCTCTGCCCCTGAGCTATTGTCCATGCCACCATACATGGTCCACTTGCTTCTCACAATCTCCTGGGCTATCTCTGTCTCTTGTTGTCATTTTTCAGAAATTACAAGAAAGTTGTTTAAAAAGAATGTTAACATGCCTTTAAGAAATCAAATATAAAGGAATATTCTGAATATTCAACTTCAAATAACTTCTATAATTATTCAGCCCATAGAATTTTAATATGTCAATGTATTCTGAACTTTGGTACACTGTGATTCCAAAGATGCATCTAAAAATCGTGTGTTTCACCTGCAAAAGTAAATGAAAACGAACTGACTATAGAAGGATGAGCATTTGAGTTCTACTTTCTAACACCAAGTGATTCTATTTCCTCATATATTTCCTTGGACCCCAGTTATGTGATTTGTAAAATAATGATCTCCAATGTCTTTTTAACATTTAAAATCTTATTGTTCCCAAGTAATCTAAACAAGCAATTCAAGGTTTCTATTCAATAATAAAGGATTTCCATTTCATTCCCATGGAGCCATTCTGATATTTGGGCTTGCAATATTTGAGTATTTTTTAGTAACCACAATAATGTTCTGAATTACATGAATGTGATTAAATAAGCATATGAATTCACACAGAACATTTCTATATCATTTATCTTTTTAAGGTGGTTTTCTCTCCATTTATATACTGGCCCACTCTTTTATTTAAAATTTTCTTTCAGGAGATAGCAGGAACACAAAAGGCTTAAATTGTTAAACAGAGCAATAAATGTGTATGTTGATCTAGATAGAGAAATGGTGCAATTACTCAAGTTAAATATTTTCTAAAGACACTCCTGTGAAAGACTCAATCAAGGAACTGCCTTGGGAGTCATTTGCCAGAGTTGCAGATTGTTACCAACAGTCCCCAGTCATAAGAGGTAAACCTGGAAAGGAAAGAACAGAGAAAAGAAAAATAATGTTTCTAACGAGGGATTCACTTATTACAGCTGCCTGACTTCTACAGACAGACCAAGCGCCGCTCTTCTGCCTGGCCAGAATGCCACCATTGCCAAAGAATGGAGCCTCCTGGGTTCCTTGGATTTTCTGTGTCCTCCTCTGTCCACTGGTTCGGCAAGGAGTAGAGGCCTTCGAGTGTGGCAATGGGGTCTCCGTGCCTCCTGACAGCGTGTGCGACTTCACAGATCACTGTGGGGACCTGAGTGATGAACAGCAATGTAAGTTCCATGCTTCTCTTTTCTCCACTTTCTGTATATCTTTGCCGTATACCAGGGGCTGCTGAGCAGCCAGGGAGATTCAGACAGATACCTGGCCCTGCATGGATTTAATTCATAAGCCCTTAGTGTAAGACAGAAACTGAGATAGTATTTTCATGAAAGAGACGGGTCCATAAATAAAAATTACTCTAGTGAAGCAATATCAAATTGCTAAGACTACACCTAGCTGGATGCATTTTAGATGGGTTTTTACTGATTCTACGGAAAGAATGACAGGCAGAAATGCATCATTTAATTTTGTATTAGTAGGGAAAATTTCAGAAGAAATGCAATGCTGCAGCTTTAAAATTCTGTGACAGAAAATACCAGCTAAAGGCTGAATGCAGTATGAAAACATTTTAACTAAATGCTAAGTTAAAGGAGTTAGATTTTACTTCTGCTGCTAGGACGGTACCACCAAGTGAACTGATTATGCCCTGAGCACAGTGCCTGGCTTGTAGCATTTGGTTTCGGGCTGAGGAAAAAGCACAAGCTTCCAAAACCTAGGAGCCTGAATAGACCACCTACTAATGGTGTGATCTTGAACCTCCACCTCATTATAAAAAGAACCGGCTCTCTCAGGTGGGAAATTGCTCCATTGCCTGCCGGTGTCATGGGTAAAGATTTGTATGTGTCTATAGTTTCTCTGCCAATAAGACATCCTGAAGGAATTATTTCATTTCACCAATGAAACTGTGTTGTTCTTACATGCCATTGCCTTTCGTAAACAACTAATGGATTAAATGGAGTCACTGTTGGTTCGTTGTAATATGACCTAGTTATCTGAAGGCACTAATTCTAGTCAGAGCACTTGATCAAACGTATTTTCTATTTTTATTCAGATACTCTATTAATTAATCTTTACAGAATTCTTTCATTCAGGTAAACACTATTAGTATTTGCAGAATTTCTTCTGCTAAAATAGATTCTACACATTTAATTTTGCTGTTGTTGGCCTTCTTGTTACATATTCAGTTGTTACATTAAAACCAGAAAAAAGAGTTTACTGGAAAATGTCTTCTCTGTAGAAGAAAACAGTCTAATGATTTTTGCCCATAGTTTGGGATAGCTGTCAAGCAGTTAGTAACTATTAAATGCAAAGCACAGCCAAAGGCTAGGATTTGATGTTTGTCCAGTTTCCCCAGAAAGGCTGCATGTGTGCGAGCTGCCCTGCCTCTCCCCTCCTCGGGTCTGTCTGGGACAGCCCTCTGGTGAGCAGCAAAGAGGAACCGCTCGGCTGCTTTGGCAAGAAGTGCCAAGTCCCTTCCGTTGTTAATCTCTATGAATCTCCCGTTAGCGCACCTGCTGTGGTAACATGCGCGGCCCTGCCTCAGGGAGAAGGTTCAGTGAAAGGAGGAGGACGCCACAGGATGAGGAAGGTCTCCGCTGCATGAAAGGTTCCAATAACGCGCATCCGTGGAGGAAAGCGAAGGAACACATCTGTCGAATAAATAGATTTCATTTAAAAAATGTTACATTGGGAGATCACCTTTTGGCCTTTCATTTTTCATTTTCATTTCCAAGAAGTTTCCACTTGAGTATTTTATTTACAATGTGAACCATAACCTGTAGATAACATTGAGAATGTGAATTTCTATTGTATACTACACTGGAGGGGGAGGGGTGGAGAGGGGAGGAATATGGTGAGGGAATAGTAATGGCCAAGCAATTTCTCTCATGAAAGTTTGTGACGCTAAATTTACAGATGAGATTTTTTAAAGCTAACTTTATAATGATGGTACAGTAGTCACATTTTGAAAAAAAAATCAACCTGTACCTCTCTTTAATGTCCAGATTATGTGACCTTTAAGAAATAGATTAATAGGCTGATTATCTTAATGAAATTGGCATAGTTGATGTTGAATTTCAGATGCAACTGATTCTATTCATAGATTTTTAAAAATGTTCTTATTTTATATGATGGAACTCTGTTTAAGAATACTCCAACTGTTTAACTCAGGGTTTTTGTTTTGTTTTTTTTTTATATTAGGTTTAGGAAGACTGAATCTTCCCAATGGATTCAGTTCTATTTATGCACACTACTGAGCATTTAATATATAATAAGCAAGGAAAATATATTTTAAGTATAACAATTATTTAGTTCTGGTGTCAAGAATCCCTCTTTATTAGACTTTATCCTGAGCTAGGGAAAAATGTTGTGTAACTGGTCTGGATATTTAAAAAAAAAAATCATAATCCAAATGTTGCATTGTCTGCTTCCAAGCAGATTCCCTTCTTCTGGTGTTCATTTTCTTCTGTTTATTTGTTTATTAATTTTAATGTCAGAGTCAATACTAAATACAGAGATAGTTTGACTTCTAGCAATTGCTTCAAATTATTTGTTGTACAAAAGTTCTACTCTGCTTTGTTCTTCTTAACATAAAGGCAGCTGTGTTATATTGCTACCATTCAAATTCAAATCAATCAGAAAATTACAAAATGTTCTGTTGACACACTGTTAATATATATCCATATTTCAATGCATTCTCCCACTGAAGTATGCCCAGGAAATATACTTAGAAAATTACTTTTGCATACCTGGTGATAGTATTAAAACTGTTTTAGAGCTAATTTTTCTCAGAATTTACTGTGATCCAAAAGAAGAAAAAATATATTCAGTTAATAAAATACTGTTCCCTTACCTACATGTCATGCTTAAGAACTTTTTTTTTATTCACTCTAATATTTTAATAAAGAGACAAAGTCTTTTATACTTTGGTTTGATGTATATATCATAAAGATTTAAGATTTTATCTAATTTATTTTACAAATTATTTGAATTTAAGAACAAACATTTTTTTCAAAGTGTATTAATTTTATATAAATCTAAATGTATATGCAAAATATGTGAAAACTGATTTAGAGGTACATTCTCAAAATCTGAGAGGTGATAATGTTTAACCTAAGCAAAACATTTCTTCACTAGAATAACATAAATATCAAGTACTCTTATAGTAATTGCTTCATTTAAGTACTGGAAGGTAAAGCATTGATATAGTGAAATGTGAAATTTCATGTGTAATACTAATTACATCATTGGATGGAAAACTAGTATACACATTGCCATGAAACAATTAATAAAAATACTTTATAAATCCTATTTACCACAGCAGCACATATTAGTTTGGGCTATTATTACAAATATCATAGACTGGGTGGCTTAAACAGCAAACATTTATTTCTCACAGATCTAGAGGGTAGGAAGTCCAAGATCAAGACACCAGCAGAACTGATGCCTGATGAGGGTCCCTTTCCCATTTTGCTACGTTCTCACATGGCAGAGGTCATGCCTAGTGTCTCTTCATATACAGGCAGGGAAACCATCTTGAGGATTTTGTTCTCATGACCCAATCATATCCCAAATGCCTCACCTCCAAATACCATCACATTGGCAATTAGAGCTTAGACCTATGGATTTGGAGGGATACCAACATTCAGTCCACAGATTTATATATGTAAGAGATCTAATAATAAAGATGTATAATTTAGCTCAAGAAAATTAGAAAATTTTCACACACTTCAGTTTTGGCCTAAATGGGTGCTATAGTTTTGAGTTCCGTGACATTTATTTTAATTTTATGTAACAATTTAAGCACACTCAATTGGGCACTCATTGAAAAATAGCGAAGTATAGTTTTCATTTATTGCATTGGGCAGACTCATTAGGACCATTTTGCTTTAATGTCTCTGCAGATCTCTTGGTCTTTTATGGTGTTTAGTCATAAGTTTAGAAACATTATATTTCAGTGGCGTAAAGCCTTCAAGCTCCTCTAAGTCAAAAGCCTCATTTTGTAAATGTGAATGAGGTGAGACCCTAAACCAAGAGATTGATAATAGAAGGGTATGTATTAATTAATAGTGCCTCAATACTGAAACTGGGGTTCCTATTCTCCTATATTTCAAATATGAGTTTTCTGAGGTTTTACAAGTGATTATAAAATCCAGTTATTGAACAACTTTATAGGGCACTATAAAAGATATTGTTTCTAAATAAGACTATCCATTAGTTATTGATATCAGAATATGTGCATAAATCTCTAAAACTGTTTCCTTTCAATAACATTTGCATATAGGCAGTATTATTTATCTATATTTTATTGTTATTCCAAATACTTTCAGATCTGTTGTGCATGATTTGTACCAATTACAGGGTACTTCTGTTGAGGTGAACAGGAAGAGGAGGTACCTGTGAGAATAGAAAATATTCTGTAAAATGGAATGAATAAAAAGTGAAATAAAATGGATAGCAGTGCATATTTTAAAAAGATTAAGGTACAATTCCTTGGTTGCGGGCATATCCCCAGTAGGGGGTGTGCAAGAGGCAGCTGATCGATGACTCTCTTTCATCGATGTTTCTAACTCTCTATCTCTCTCCATTCCTCTCTGTACAGAATCAATAAAATATATAAAAAAATAAAAAATAAAAAGATTAAGGTACAATAAATACCTAAGTCTACAAAACTGCACACTGGTTTCAATGTTTATGATGAAAGATCTATGAGATTTGCCTAAGAATGGCTGTGAAGGCAAAACCAGAGGAAGTAGAGGATAACATAGGCAATAAAATCTCAAACATCTCTCATCGCAATATGCTTGCTGATACATCTTCTAGCACAAAGGAAACTAAGGAGAAAATAAACAAATGGGACTGCATCAAAATTAAAACCTTCTGCACAGCAAAAGGAACTATCAACAAAATCAAAAGGGAGCCCACCATATGGGAGAACACATTTGCCAATGATTCACCTGATAAAGGGTTAGTATCCAAAATATATAAGCAACTCATACAACTTAACAAAAGGAAGACAAAAAATCCAACTAAAAAATGGACAAAATACCTAAGTAAACATTTCTAGAAAGTAGACACATAGATGGCCAAGAAGCATATGAAAAAATGGTCCAAGTCACTGATCATCAGAGAGATGCAAATTAAAACCACAATGAGGTATCATCTCACTCCA